ACACATGAAAATATCAAATTCAACTGATCCACAACAAGTAGGTATCCCCGATGATCATTCATCAACAATAATGTTCAAATTCGACACAATCAAGGTAGTTTTAACTTGTTGATTGACAAGTTCATGCTTATAACAAGTTACAGTAAACTTACTTTGAATGGAATCAACATTCTCACCCAAAAAACAAAAGAGATGAATCTGACTTCAGTTGATTAATTCGTAGAACTAGGGTTGTGACTCCTTTATGAAATTAGAGCTTGTAGATGATGTAAAATCTTTATAACCTTTGAGTAGCCGTTATTGGAGAGGAAAAAAAGAAGAAAAAATGACCTTTGGCGTTTGAAGCGACCTATATACATTTAGTTTTGAATATTCCTTACGCGTGGGTCGGGTCGGGTGGTCATGACAATGGGTTTGTGACGATGGGCCATGAAGTGGCCCATTAAGGACACCATGGTCCGTAGAGATGTCCGTGGATATGACTTGGGTTGATGATACTTACCTGAGGTTCACGAAAGGCTAAAGGGTTCGTATAGATCTTGACGGACCGTGAACCCTTCCGTGAACCACCTTCCAGTAGCCTCGATTTCCTGTAGGTGGTTGTGACGGAGCATGAGGTCGCCTGTGAAGGGGACCACAGTCTGTGGGACTGCCCGTGAAGGGATTCCTGCACCAATTCTGCAATTTTGAGTCCAAATCTTTCCTGCACACATCAACACACCATGACTCTATAAAATAAAGGAAACTGATAAAAAGGAAACTACCTATTACAATTAACATCTTGGGTTGCCTCCCAAGCAGCGCACAATTTAACGTCACGGTGTGACGCAGGTTACTTGATTACTCAGACTTCATTAAGTTTACATTTCTCCACAATTTTCACTTCTTCAGGAACACTCAAGTATGCCTTGATTCGCTGACCATTTGCATTGAACCTCTCACCTTTGTCATTCTCAAGCTCAATAGCACCCGACTGGAACACCTGAGTTACCTTAAAAGGTCCAGACCATTTAAATCTCAATTTCCTTTGAAACAGACGAAATCTAGAATTCAAAAGTAACACCAAGTCACCAGGAGTGAATGTTCTCTTCTCAATATGCTTATCATGATACAACTTCATCCTCTCATTGTACAATGCAGACCTCTCCTATGCTCTCAAATGGAACTTATCCATTTCATTAATGTGATCCAGTTTGAGGTTTACAATTTCACTCCAACTAAGGTTCAGCTTCTTCAAAGCCCACAGTGCTTTATGCTCAAGCTCAACCGACAAATGACATGCCTTCCCAAACACCAATTGATATGGAGACATACCAATAGGCGTCTTGAAAGTTGTCCGATATGCCCATAAAGCATCATCTAACTTTCGCGCCCAATCTGTTCTATTGCCATTCATTGTTTTAGCCAAAATCGCCTTAATCTCTCTATTGGACATCTCCACTTGACCACTAGTCTGTGGATGATAAAGAGTTGCCACCTTGTTCTGTTTAACCCTGTATTTGGCTATAACCACATACCCCTGGGAATATCATGCATATGACAAAAAATTCACCCGAAGTTATTGCCATAACACTCATACAAGTACCATTTATACTTGCAAATAGGACTCAAACATACACTCGGATCATCATTCATAAAAATTACGAAAGAATTCATTTAACCCATGACTCTCAACAACCATTTTCACCCAATTTCGATCAACCCACATATGAAAATATCAAATTCAACTGATCCACAACAAGTAGGTATCCCCAATGATCATTCATCAACAATAATGTTCAAATTCGACATAATCAAGGTAGTTTTAACTTTTTGATTGATAAGTTCATGCTTACAACAAGTTATAGTAAACTTATTTTGAATGGAATCAAAATTCTCGCCCAAAAAACAAAAGAGATGAATCTGACCTCAGTTGATTAATTCGTAGAACTAGGGTTGTGACTTCCTTTATGAAATTAGAGCTTGTAGATGATGTAAAATCTGTATAACCTTTGAATAGCCGTTATGGGAGAGGAGAAAAAGAAGAAAAATTGACCTTTGGCGTTTGAAGCGACCTATATACGTTTAGTTTTGAATATTCCTTACGCGTGGGTTGGGTCGGGTGGTCATGACACTGGGTTTATGACGACGGGCCATGAAGTGGCCCGTTAAGGACACCACGGTCCGTAGAGATGTCCGTGGATATGACTTGGGTTGATGATACTTACCTGAGGTTCACGAAAGGCTAAAGGGTTCGTATAGATCTTGACGGACCGTGAACCCTTCCGTGAACCACCTTCCAGTAGCCTCGATTTCCTGTAGGTGGTTGTGACGGAGCATAAAGTCTCCCGTGAAGGGGACCATAGTCCGTGGGACTGCCCGTGAAGGGATTCCTGCACCAATTCTGCAGTTGTGAGTCCAAATCTTTCCGGCACACATCAACACACCATGACTCTATAAAATCAAGGAAAATGATAAAAAGGAAACTACCGATTACAATTAACATCTTGGGTTGCCTCCCAAGCAGCGCACAATTTAACGTCACGGTGCGACGCAGGTTACTTGATTACTCAGACTTTATCAAATTTACATTTCTCCACAATTTTTACTTCTTCAGGAACACCCAAGTATGCCTTGATTCGCTAACCATTGGCCTTGAACCTCTCACCTTTGTCATTCTCAAGCTCAATAGCACCCGACTGGAACACCTGAGTTACCTTAAAAGGTCCAGACCATGTAGATCTCAATTTCCCTAGAAACAGACGAAATCTAGAATTCAAAAGTTACACCAAGTCACCAGGAGCGAAGGTTCTCTTCTCAATATGCTTATCATGATACAACTTCATCCTCTCATTGTACAATGCAGACCTCTCCTATGCTCTCAAATGGAACTTATCCATTTCATTAATGTGATCCAGTTTGAGGTTTACAATTTCACTCCAACTAAGGTTCAGCTTCTTCAAAGCCCACAGTGCTTTATGCTCAAGCTCAACTGACAAATGACATGCCTTCCCGAACACCAATTGATATGGAGACATACCAATAGGCGTCTTGAAAGCTGTCCGATATGCCCATAAAGCATCATCTAACTTTCGTGCCCAATCTATTTTATTGTCATTCATTGTTTTAGCCAAAATCGCCTTAATCTCTCTATTGGACACCTCCACTTGACCACTGGTCTGTGAATGATATTGAGTTGCCACCTTGTTCTGTTTAACATCGTATTGAAGCAGTACCACCAACATCGCACATTACCTCAAATGGCTCAGCCAAATATGGGCCAATGATCACTGGTGCATAAATCAGCTTTTCCTTTAGGCATTAAAGGCTCTGAAACATGCCTCGTCAAAAATAAATTTCACCTCCTTCTCCAAAAGCTTGCACCTGGGGTGTGCAATTTTAGAGAAGTCCTTGATGAAACGCCTATAGAATTCGGCATGTCCTAAGAAACTTCGAACACCCTTCACACAAATAGGCAGAGGCAACTTTTCAATCGCCTCAATTTTGGACTTGTCGACCTCTATCCCCTTCTGTGACACCTTCTGCCCAAGGACTATGCCTTCATTGACCATGAAATGGCACTTCTCCCGATTCATCACTAGGTTGGCCTCCTCGCATCTTCGTAGGGCCCTGCTAAGATTAAGCAAACAGTCATCAAAGGTGTCACCTACCACTGAAAAGTCATCCATGAAGACCTCTAGAGTGTCCTCCACCAAGTCTGAAAAGATAGACATCATACACCTCTGGAAAGTCGTTGGTGCATTACATAGTCCAAATGGCATGCATTTAAACGAAAAAGTGCCATAAGGACATGTAAAGGTATTTTTTTCTTGATCTTCAAGAGCAATTGATATCTGGTTGTTGCCAGAGTATCCATCTAAGAAGCAGTTCCACCCTTTTCCAGCCAAACTGTCAAACATCTAGTCCATGAAAGGCATCGGGAAATGATGCTTCAAGGGCCACTTGTTCAGCTTCCTGTAATACATACATAATCGCCATCCAATGACTGGCCTCTATGGGACCAACTCATTATTTGCGTTCACCACCACAGTCATACCACCCTTTTTGGGCACACATTGCATTGGGCTGACCCAGTGACTATCAGAAATGGGTTACACCACCCCAACATCTAACCACTTGATGATCTCCTTATTAACCACCTCTTGCATGGGTGGGTTTAGCCTCCGCTGGTGTTCAATGGTTGGGCCGCAGTCCTCTTTAAGTTGAATCTTATGGGTGTAAATACCTGGAGGTATCCCGATGATGTCAACAATGGTCCAATCAATGGCCCTTTTGTACCTTATCAACACTTTTATCACAGCTTGAACCTGTTCATCGTTCAAATCTACAGCCAAAATCACAGGTAAAGTGTTGTTAGCTCCCAAAAATACATATCTCAGGTGACTGGGTAACTGTTTCAGTTCTAGCACATGTGGCTCCTTAATGAATGGTTTTGCTGGAGGACTTGGCCTGTTTTCATATCCAGGTCCAATTTCTTTGGAGCATAAGAGTGTGCTCCCATACCCTCCAAAGCATTCAAGGTCTCTACATAGTCAGATCGGAAGTCAACTTCAAAATTCATCAACATTGCAGCTAAGTTTTCAACAGCCAACCTCTCTTCAATGGTTGCTCCCATTTCTTCTTCATCAAAAACCTCTATCGCAGACACCATACTCATGTCATGTGTCTTCTTGATGGACCTGCAAATATTAAACTTTACCTCTTCTTTGTTGAGCCTAAATTTCAATTCTCCTCGCTCAACATCTACCAATGCTCGTCCCGTGGCCAGAAATGGTCTTCCCAAAATAATGGGAACCTCAAAATCCACTTCGCAATCCAAGATCAGGAAGTCTGCCGGAAAGATGAACGTGTCCACCTTTACGAACACATCACATAGGATGCCCACAGGTCGCTTCACTGACCCATTTGCCATCATCAACCTCATGGTTGTGGGTTTTGGAACTCCTAACCCCAGTTTCTTGTAGATGGCTAGTGACATCAAGTTTATACATGCCCCTAAATCACACAAGGCTTTTTGCAAATTTTATTGAATCTATAGTGCATGGTATGGTGAATACACCCGAATCCTCTTTCTTTTGTACCAGAGACCTGGTAGCAATAGCATTGCAGTGATGAACATGGTTAGTCATATCAATACTTACAACTCTCTTCTTTGTAACCAAGTCTTTCATGAACTTGGTATATCCTGGCATCAGCTCTAGTGCTTCCACTAGTGGGATATTCACTGATAGTTGTCTCAGCATGGTGATGAATTTAGTGAATTTCCCATCCTCGGCTTTCTTTTTTTGCCTTTGAGGGAAATAAGGAGGTGGTCTTGGGATTTGCTGTAAAGGCAAAGATCCTTTAACCTCTTTTTCTTTTTCTCCTGCTGGTTTTGCTATTAGTTGAGTATCCTCTAAGTCATCTACTTGTTCAGCTTCATCCTCCTCTCTTCCAGCTTGCTCCAACACCTGCTCATGGTTAGTACCTGTAGAAATTGGGTCAGCAAGAATATTACCACTCCTGCTGGCGATAGCCATGCAATGTTTGTCCTTCTTAGGGTTTTGGATCGTGTCACTTGGTAGTGACCCACTCTTCCTCTGATTTAATGAGGCTGAAAGTTGCCCCAACTGCTGCTCAATTTTCTTGATGGAGGTGGTGTAAGAGTCTACCAGTTGACTCATACTGGAGAAATCACCTTTCATCTCCTTTACCCCTGCATCAGTTGATTCAACTTTTTGGAGTACCTTGTCTAACATGTCTACCAGCTTAGACTCGCTGGAACTACCACTTGCCTGGTCTCTATTACTTGGGGGAACATACACACCACTGTGATCATTTCTATACCCAACTCTGTTCTGCCAGTTTCCCTGCTCTCTATTTGCTGGCCTATCATACTGTCCTTTCCTTGAGTAGTTCCGACCTGCATTTCCAGAATTGTAACCCTGGTTTCCCGAGTTATAATTCCATAAACCTCCTTGGTTGCCCAGGATTAACGTCTTTATCTATATCGATATCCTGACCTTCAATACCTGTTTGGCTGCCCCACAATATTTACCTTTTCAGACTTTGAGACAATATGCTTCGTAAGTAGATTTATTTGGGTCCTCATGTGTGCCATATTATGATCCCTTTCTTCTTTTATTTTCCTTTGTTCAGCTAAAAGTTCAAATGTGTACCCAAGATCTCCTACTTCTGCATCCCTGGTGTACCATGCCTAGTTATTCTTTGACACCTCGTCTATCAGTTGCATGCTCTCTGAGAATGGCTTCCTCATAAATGATCCTCCACACACTGCATCAACAACAAGTTTAGTAACATAATTTAAAGATCTATAAAATGTCTGTTTTAGATGTCTCTTAGTGAGACGATGGTTTGGACACTTCTTCAGCTTTCGGCTGAATCTCCACCAGGTGCCATGCATCGCTTCTCCTGGTAGCTGTTTATGGGCACTTATCTCATCTTTCATTTCCATCTCTTTTGACTCTGGAAAGAATCGTTCCAGGAAAGCTTCCTTTAGTTCAATCCAAGTCCTAATTGAGTCATCAGGCATCTCATTCAACCAATTTGTTGCCTCTCCAATAAGAGACAATGGGAACAGTCTCAGTCTCAGTGTTGTCTGGCTAAGTCTCATTGTTGTCTGGCTAACCCTATGAATTTGTTTAAATTTTCATATTGCCACAAAGTTCATCAGATGTTGATTAGCATCATCACCATTTGCACCCCTGAACATACCTTTCAGATTCAACAGTTGAATCATAGTACTGGTGATTGTGAGTTTAACACCTAGAGGTAATGCAGGTAACACTATCGCTCCAGTGGCTCCAGCTCCATCCAAGTCTAAGTCATCATTTTCATACATCATGTGAGCTAGAGGTTGTGCTCTACCCCTTGGAGCTATTGGTTAGCGCTGGGGAGGAATGATTCCATCCACTGCTATGTTTTCGTCCACTGCCCTAGGTTGGTTGTTCACAACATTTGGCTGAATACCTCTTACAACTGTTTTAGCTTCCAATCCAAATCTCAGTCTCTGCACCTCAAGTTCTTGTGCGTTCACCATTTTGCGGATTATTTTTCGGAGTTCTAGATTGTATGGGACTAATAGGGCTCCCTTACTTCTGGTAATTGGCATACACAGTTGAACTCACCTGAAAGAGACACAGACAAAGAACACAACGTAAAATTAGGAAATCTAACTACACTTAGAAAAAAAGGTAGTAAAACACTTTTGAATTGAAATTTCCCGGCAGTGGCGCCAAAATTTGATACGTCCAAACTTACACATCAATTAAGAGATATAAATGGTCGAAGTCAATTTATATAACTCAACTTGAGTATCCCATAGAGAAATTCTTTATAGAAATGATTTCATTGTCGTGTTTTACTCAAATGTCATTATTATTTCCTAAAGAAACAATTACGGAAAGTAAAATGGGTTTAGTTGTGATGTTCTAGTAACTAGGATTTGTATTCAAAATCCAGATTAACAATTAACAGAGTTTTCAGTTCTCAAGTTGTTTCGATGATTAAAAGAAACCAAGGTTGTGTTCCCCATAATGTTACACCTAATGTTCTTTCGTAATTGAGTTTCAAGCAATTTATCTCTACAAAATACAGATGAGTTAGATATATCTGATACTTCTCAGTCTAATCAGATAATGTTCACTCATGTCCTCTCGGTCCTAGAGTGTTACTAGTTTTGCCCTCGTTTACAATGGTGTTAAAGTTCTTTTCTCTCGATATCAAACTTTGACTCCATTTCTTCAAGTTAATTTGGGTTTTTCCTAACTATTACTTTTCTCTCGAACAAATAATAGATACAGGCTCACTCCAATGCGTGCACTCATCAGAAAACATTAATAATGTTTGTCCTCAAGTAAGTCAAGAACACAAAAGGCTCAATAAGGGTGTCTACAATACAAGTGCCAAATCAAAACTACTCTCAATAACATGTTACCCTCAATCATGATCAAAAAGCGTCGAATGATGACTAGCTAGTCTCAAAACAAGCTCAAGCTCACTTTAGCTTCTTGTCTAATGCAAGAACATGTTTCAATAAACGCATTCAAGTGACCTCACATAAAGAATGATTTTATGCTCTCGTGAAGTAAATCAATAAAGGTAATAGGAATTAATGCAACTCTCACTCTCTCAAAAGAGAAACACATGCAAGCTTAGTCCCATAGGTTTGCCCATATTTTCCAATCATCACATAACCTAGTTCATGCAAGATCTCAAGGGTCTTTTAGGCTTTTAATGGGGCTGAGGGTTAAGGTGTGGTCTATTTGGATTTGTGACTTATACATTTTCAAAGCATTGTTGCAATTATCATCACCTCTTCTTAAGTTCTTTTTCTTATTTTTCATTTGAGAACTCAAACCTTGACTTGTCACTCAATTTATTTGAAATTCCCATTTTATTGTCTTCACTTATCTTTTTTATTTTCATTTTTACAAGATATTTCCATCATAATAATGATATTTTTTAATTTTTTTTTTAGGGAAAAAGGACAAATATACACCCGAACTATCATAAATGGTATACAAATACCGTATGTCATACTTTTCGGACATCAGTACCATTGTCATCCAAAAACCAAAGCATATTTACCCTTCATTTTAATGGAAGACTTATTTGGTACACGTGGTGCAATCCTACGTCTCAACCCGGTTTGACCAATTAATTATCCCAAAATTCAAATACCTGCCCATTACCAATTTAACCTACCCGACAGGCCCATTACCCAGAATAAATAATCTATATAAAAACCTAATAAGACCCCCTTTCTCGCAAGTCTTTCATTCATCAAATTAAAATCCTAGTTCATCAGATGTAAGCTACTCACTCGTCTTCGTCGATTCTTGGTGGACTCACTCTTATCCGGTCATATGTACTCATATTTTCACTCTGTTCATCTCATAGATCTTGTTTGTATTCAATTTTTGCTTGTATTGTCATTCGTAGTGTGTATGAAAGATGTTGTTGAGTTTTGATTTTCACTGGTATCTTTAATTTTTATCTAGAATCTGCTTTTTATAGTGTTTTGTAGGGGTTTGTTCACGTTTATCTTAAAAAAATGAATTGTAGTCATTTTTTTTATTTTCTAGGGTTTTACTTTGGTGTCGTTTATGCGGATTTGTTAGGGGTTTGTGCACCATTATGTTAATGAAGTGTTTTTTTGTTTGTGGTTCAAATGTATTGCTTGTGTAGTGTCGTTTTATGTGATTTATGGATTTTTAATCTTCTACTTTTGTCGACTGTCTCTATTCCTTTCTTTATGGCTTTATTCACTTTATTTATGACTATTTATTTTGTACAGTTAGGTAGGTCCATAATAACTAGACAAGTATATAATTGATATTGATATTATTTTTATTTTGTACAGTTAGGTAGGACCACTTGTTTAATCTTAATTTACCTACCTTATTTGTTAATTAGTATTGTCTAATTAGCTCAAATACTTAACATGGACCACTTGTTTAATATTATTTTACGTCCATCTGTTAATTAGTATTGTGTAATTAGCTCAAATACTTAACAAACTTAAATCTTCCTTCTTTAACTTACCTTGTTTGACTGTCACCTTTGATTGTTTCTCCTTTATTCCTAATGTGAGTACTAACTAATGTAATGTGACTTATACTTACTAATGTGAGTATTTACTACTTACTAACTTAACTAATGTAACATGACTTATGTTTACTAACACGAGTACTTACTAACTTAACTAATGTAATGTGACTTACTAACTTACTGATGTGAGTACTTACTAACTAACATTATACTTTAAGACTTAAATAATTCACTTGGCCTATCTATTAAATGCTTCCTTTGACACGTCACTTTTCATTTTTTCTTATTTTTCCAAACTTACTAACTATGCAATGTGACTTGAACAAACTTAAATTTACCTTGTTTGTTTGACTGTCACTTTTTATTTTTTCTCATGTATTCCTAATGTGACTACTAACTAATTTAATGTGACTTGTTAAATTCTTTAAGACTTACTTATGCGTACTAATGTGACTGACAAAGTTACTTATTCTTACTAATATGAGTACTTACAAACTAACTAACTAACCTTATGCTTTAAGACTTAAATAATTCACTTAGCTTATCTGTTAAATTCTTCCTTTGACTATCACTTTTCATATTTTATTCTTATTTCCTAATATGAGTAATTACAAACTAACTAACTAACCTTATGCTTTAAGACTTAAATAATTCACTTAGCTTACTAATGTGACTTACTAGCTAACTAACTAACTTATATGACTTACTAATGTGACTGACTTATGTTACTTACTAGCTAACTGACTTATGTGACTTAATAACTAACTAACTAACTTACTTATTTCCTGATGTAACTTACTTATGTGACTTACTAATGTTACTTACTAGCTAACTGACTTATGTGACTTGAAAAATAATTAACTTACTTCTTTCCTAATGTAACTTACTTATGTGACTAACTTATGTTATTTCCTAAATCCTTGTACGTACGTTATTAACATGGTTGAAGTTACCATATACTTTCATTATGGTGGTGAGTGGCTTACCAGTTCAGAACAACATTAAGATAGAAGATGGGTTCATTATTGGAGAGACTATGATCCTGATCTTATATCTCTTTTTTACTTAGTCCATGAGTACACACAGATAATTTAGGTTTTGTTGGTGTGCAACAACTTATTGTACTTGCTCTTTCTGGGAAATATTTTGAAATAGTAGGTGATAAAGGATCTAGGCCCTTATCATCTTTTATCTTTAGTGATTATAAATCCATTCATTTATTTACTACTGATGATTGTGAATTATGATGTACTTGATATTTTCATGCATGATGGATCATTTTTACTTTTAGCAATTGTTAATGAAGGCACAGACTGTAGTGAAAGTGAAAGTGACAATGATAATGTAATGGTGTTTAGCTGTTCAGATTATGATACTGATGAATTGGAAATTTTAGTTACTAAAAATAGAGGAATATTACTGATAGTTTGCAAGATTATAAGGAGATTGTTAAGGGTATGACCTTCAAGGACATAGCTGAAGCAAAACAATTCTGCAATCTTTATGTTATGGCGAAGAAGGTAGATTGTGGTGAAGGGTGATAAAAAAATTGAGATATACATGTGGTGCTGAAGGTTGTCCATTTTATGTCTAATTTCTGGGGATCTGACCACTCCTGGTGTTAGTGTCAAAACAGTAGTAGATCATATAGAGTGTGGAATAGTATATGACAACTCTGTAGTGGATTACTTAACAATAGTTCACTATTTTAAGGAGAAATTGCAAACTGACCCTAAAAGTACAAGGTCAAAGAAATGAAGGTTGACTTATTTGATTTAAATGTAAGTGAAGAAAAGTACAAGGGAGTCAAAAGGGAGATACTAGAGACTTTGGATGGTAGCTTTGTAGACTCTTATAATAAACTAGAGGGTTATGCTATTGAATTGAGAAGTTTCAATCTAGGGTCTGACATTGTGATAGATTTGTTTAAAGAGGCACTATCTACTGGTAAGAGAAAATTTCTTAGGATGTATATATGCTTCAAGGCAATGAAGTTGGGTTTCAAGTTAGGGTTAAAACCATTTATTGGGTTAGCTGGTACATTCATTGAAGGAAAAACCA